TTTCACTTCTAGAATAGTATGGCTGACCTCCTGGTTATTCAGCAACTAAGGCTTAGAGAACAAAGCAAAGAGAGATAAAGAACTAAGAGAATAATCAATATTTTGGTCCTTACACTCCAAGTTCAGCACAATCCAGGCGATGATAGGACACCCTGAAAGAGCTCTGCAACCTGATGAGTTGCCAAACCTCCTAAAGAGAGAAATTGCAGGGACCCCAGAGACCAGAGTTTATCCCAGCCTGTGTGCATTCTTCAAAAAGGAAAGTCACTGTAAAGGAGACTTCCCTATTCTTCCAAGTGAAGTCATATGTCCAACCAAGACTGTGACCCACCCTCCAGATGACCCAATGCTAGAGGAAAATAACTAGGGAGGAAGAAGCTCTTCATGAGTCCCCAAAAGTAACCCCCAAGGAAGGTGACTGACCTTAATAGTAAAAAGGAGGTTAATTTGGTTTGCCTACTTGGTCTCAAACACACAACCAGAAAGTGTAACCATAGAATAAAATAGTTACTAATAGCATAAGAAAGAAGCTCAGAGAGCTCTTTATCCTTTTTCTTTAAAATTAAATACAGCATTTAATTTTAGCATATAAATTTACCTACTCTGTCTCAACCCTCTTCAAGATTGAGGACATTAAGTTAAGAGTATCTAAAGTAGTTTCAAGATTTGCGGGGACACCAGAGCTCAGACCCATGCTACCAGTTAGTCCAACAGGAATGAGAGGGCTTGGGGCATGGTCTGCCTTCTCCCTCTGGCCAGACCGTCATCTCCATCGAGAAGCCCTGGGTAATCATGACTATGGAGGAACAAGAAAACAGCCTGTTGCTAGACACAGGTGCAAGTCTCTCGGTCCTTCTTTTCAATCCTGGCCTTCCTTCCAGCCATCATACCTCAGTGAAAGGAGTCACTGGTGAGGAGGTAATATGCTATTTTTGACAACCCTTAGGCTGTAACTCCTTAATAGGTCCCTCTTGCATATCTCTGTCTTCCTGAGAAACCACTCTGAAGATACCACCACGTATTACAGCAGCCATTGATATTTTCCTACTAATCTATCCATAACTGTGTAAAGTTTGTAATGTTCCTATCCTATTTCATAAATGGATGTATGTTTATTATTATGTGTCTCCTACAACAACCATTGAGAATAGTTAATGATTTTTCAATAGGTCACTCATGTATAGCTCTATTTATTTTCTTTAGAAGCCACTTTGAAGATACCAAAGTATAGTACAACAACTCTTGATAATCTCCTACCTCTTTTGTCTGTAACTCACTATTATTTGTCTATTTGTTTTCCTGAGAAACTATTTTGTAGACAATAATATGTAAAACGATAACCATTGATAATTTCCTACCATTTTGTCTGTAATTTGCTAAGTCCCCCCTATTATTATGTTATCCTTCTTTTATTCTTTAAAAAAAAAAAAAAAAAAGGATAGCTGGAAAAGATTTGCGGGGACAGCCTGGCATGGGGGCATACACTTTAATCCCAACATTTGGGAGGTTGAGGCAGGAAGGTTGACATAAGTTCAAGGCCAACCTGAACTACATAGTGAGCTCAAGGCTAACCTGAACTACATAGCAAGATCATGTCTCAAAAACAAAAAACAAAAGCCAACAACAACAAAAAAGATTTATGAGGTCATTCAGGGACCAGCTTTTACTTCCAGATCACCCCCACCCCCACCTCCACAGCACTGTCTAGGAGACTCCACCCATCCTCTTAAACCTATAATCGTGTGGATTCCACAAAAAGCGGAGTTTCACAGATCACCCCCCAACCCCATGAGATCACCCTCCCGAGCAAGAAAAATCTCAAGGGAAGCAAACTGCTCCTCACTTTCTAAGGATTGCTCCAGAGCTATGAAGCCCAGACTGAGATAATGATTAACCAGATGCCAGTCTACCACAGAAGCCCATAAAATGGGTCCTTTTGGTCTTGTTAAACAGGCCAGACTGAGTCTCTTCATCAGACTGTGTCCACTTCAGTTGCTCCAGATGGAATCCTTTCCTTATTTTCTCTTACTTTTCTTTGTTAAGGGGTCAGCTTGCTCTTTATCAGCTCCCCAAGCTAAAGTACCTTTCTATTTTATTTTATTTTAATCTAGTATAGTTTATTAGCACATATGTATAATATATAATGTTTATATTCCTAGTGGGAAGTGTGTACATGTACATTCTACATCTTTGTTCCTTTTGTCATCCCTTTTCCCTTCTCTCCTTCCTCTACTGGTCCCATTATCGCCCCTGTTGAGGGTGGATCTTATCTGGGGTTTGTAAACTTATATAAAGATTTAGAGATGTAAGTTTAGAAGGAGCAACAAAATCACTTTATTGGAATGAGGAGAGAAATAAGGAGATAGGTAGCTACATTTTTGAAGTAGGTTAGGGAGCCTGGAGGTGGTGCTAGAGCGTCTTTGCTCTTAACCTCTTTTATTTTTTTTATTTTTTTATTTTTTTTGGTTTTTCTCCGGTACCGGGAACCGAACTCACGACCTTGCGCTTGCCAGGCAGGCGCTTTTGCCGCTGAGCTAAATCCCCAGCCCCCTTAACCTCTTTTATTACATAGCAAGAAATGGACTTTCTCCCTTGAGAGTTGCAATAACTTGATTGGCAATTTTAGGTCCTGAGTCCCTCGATTCAGCCACTGTCCCTTTCTACTACTAGGTGCACATACTTAGATAAGCTTTCTTTGGTCTCTTTGTTTTGTGAAGGTGACATTTGTGAGAATTGTGGCAGCACCTCACATTTAAGGCTGAGTTAGCAAAACGTATACACATATATGTTAGTATATAAATATGGTGAGAGAACATATATATATTCATATATGAGTGCATGAGTGTCCAGGTGTGAGTATATGTTTTATATACTAAGTGAGATTTCCATACTAATCGCCCTGATGGAGAGCACTACAAAGTGGCTCTGAGGAGGATTTAATATTAACCAATTGCTTTCCATGTTTACTTGTGGGTTGTCTGAAGCTTAGGCACCTTGTCTGAAGGTGGGCAGTGGACTCAGTAAGTAAACCTCTGTGAGTCACTGGTCACCCTGAGGCCTGTGAAGCTGTGACACCTCAAAGGACAAGGGCCACAGCTGAGGATGTCTGGCTCCAACCCCACTTAACTCAAAGGAGGAGACTGTAGCTGCAGGTATCTCACTCCTGCTCTGAAGGCCTTCTTGGAGATAACATAGTTTTCCTAAATTAATGTATTAATGTATTAATACTTGGAAAAGTTCTGCCCAGATTCCCATGTTTTCTTCCCACATCCTCCTCATTTGTTTCAGTTCTCCCTGCTTTTCTGAATTGCACTCTCTAGCAGGGATTTGCCTCTTTCAAGTCAGGATTTGTCAGAAACCTCACTAAGGCTCTTAACTTTCCCTGCCTGTCCCCCAACTTTCCCTATACCCTTTCTGTCACTTTCCAAATAAATACGGGCTGCCCAGAGAAGTCTTTGTCTAAACTCAGGGAATATCGAAACTGTGAGAGAGTTAGTCGCTCCTGGAGCCCTGAAATCATTTCAATTGTTTCATTTATTTAAGCCTTCACCATCCAGTTGCTTAGGAGATTGTGAGCCTGATCAGCCTGCAATAACTAAGGGTTATTTAACCGATATGTCCCCCGACCCCATTTTGGCTTTTGTACTTAACTGGAGAAGATGAGTGAATTGGGGTCCTGTGTTTCAGTTCCCCCTGCTTTTCTGAATTGCACTCTCTAGCAGGAGTTTGCCTCTTTCAAGTCAGGATTTGTCAGAAACCTCACAAAGGCTCTTAACTTTACCTGCCTGTCCCCCAACTTTCCCTATACCTCACTTTTACTTGTAAATTTGTGCCTCACTTTTAATTTCCATTACAACTGAAGCAAGGACCCGTGTTACTCAGTGACACTATTTTGTGTGTTGAAATGTTTTGGCATTTGGGAATGCTTTCCTGAACCATTCAGAGTGTTGGCTGCTCCACCAGGAACAGGATATATGAAGTGGGGCTGTACCCTCCAGCTGTCCTTTGAAAAAGGGTTGTTCTGGAGTCCTTGGATTAACCTCGCCCTTCCTGGCCATGTTGATGATTAGGTCTAAAGCAGTGGGCTCAGGGAGCCTGGGAAGTAAAGACCCTCATTATGCCCCCTGGATCACAGGAACGTCTGTGTCAATCTTCTGTTTTTGCATGTTCTACAAATCAACAGTGGGCTCTGGTTTTTCTCTAGAATGAGCTAGGTCTCAGGTTGCTATGGAGGTTGGAGGCTTTTTCTCAGGCAGATTGGAGTCCTGTGATGCTAAACTACCATCAGGAGGAGCTAGTAAGCTTCATGGTTGGTGTGGGATGAGAGAGGACACAACACACAGCAAGTATGACCTGAGTGTAGGACACAATGAGTGGTGTTTGCTTAGGTGTCATGATCAACTCCACGGTGTTCAGGCTGGCGTGAGACCCCATCTGCGCAACTCTTTAAATGGAAGCCTAGGGTGCTGAGCAGGAGAAGACTTTGGGGGTCATGGCAGCACCATCCTTGAGGACTCTGGTATCAAACCTATAGGCACACGGGAAAGAGACTGGAGGCTGAAATCTGGGAGACTTGTTTCAGCAATAAAATAGTTCAGGTTAAAAGTAGCAAGGAAAGAGAATGGCTATACACACAGAGTGAAGGATGGGCCACATATCAAAAACAAGAGTGAGTGTGTGGGAGGAATGGAAATGGGGAGTGACTTAAACAATTTTTAAAGACTATCGTCACTTGTGAACTCATTTGTTGTTTTCAGCAAGTGTCCTTGAGCTTGTGGCTACTGGAGCACCAAATGTAAGCATGCACATGTGCAGGTGTGTGCTTGACCACAGAAAAGCAAAAGGAATCTTTGATTTTACCTATGGTGGTAGGGTGGGAATATTAGTAGCTGATCCCTTGATTAACTAATTGTAAAGGCAATCTTTAATGAATACATGTGATGCTGCTCCATTAAGAGGCTTTTAGCCAAGTCCAGGTATGACTTTGGTTGTATGGAATAACTAATAAATACATTTTTCCCTCTATTTGTAGCCAAACATGGCACCCAAGAACATATGTTATTTTCACTGTTTTCTCTGGGCAGAGATGGACACTCCCATGTCCTTCATATTCCTGTCTCCATCTGCATGGGATGGAAATGTTCTGGCTTGGTGCTATGGGCAGGAGACCCTGTTCTACAAGGTCTGCGGGAGTCTTATCCACTCCTGATGAACATTCTTCGAGATGCTGCTATCACACCTGGACATCTGGTCTGTGAGAGCCAAAGGAGCCATCAGGTTGCCTGTGAGGCATCCCTGGGGGTGGACATATGGTCTTCTGCACAGGTATTGTCTTAACTTTAGAGCTAGTGGGAAATTCAGATGGCAACTTTTGTAGGTGAAGAAACGGAGGCCCAGAGAAAAGTCATGCAGAGACAGGACTCAAAGGTACCTACTCAGACCTCAGCTCCTGAGATATTAGGAGTCGCCTGACATTCTGCCACCTCCTTCCCAGAGATCCATGATCAGATGAGGGTGGATCTCCCTCAGGGCTTCATAAAGTTTGTCTTTGCAGGCAGAATTCCAAGATGGGCTGAAACTGAACAGCTTCCGCATCTGGCTTGGCTTGGTGGTTTCAGCCCGCACACTGGTGTACTGCTCTTCACTCAACACCTGTCTACTCAGCAGCCTGTCTAATACAGAGTCTACGGAAGTCACTCGGGCCACCAGCTGCTCCCGATGCTGGTCCACGAAGTGCAGCGAGGCTAGGGCATTTTGAAGTAGCACTGAGGCTGGAATGAGCAAAATGTTTCCACCATGGGTCCTGCCTCCAATCCCCTACATCTCTATCTTCTCAATCACCTTATCTGAATCTTTGATTTCCTTTTCTCTCTGGAAAGACATTTAACAACCAGAAAGCACCAATGCCTTTACTCATGGCAGCGTGGAGTCTGATGCTGTCTGAGTGGGGAGGAGGGGTCTATGATGGGGCCTTGAGGCAGTGTATGGGGTGATAGGGTTCCCATGGGCAAGGGTAAGGGACATGAGGAAGAATTCTACCACTGGGCATGCACTCCTCCAGCCTGATCTCTGGTGCGGTTTTCAGTGAGAGTGCCTCCTGTCTCTTCCCTTCCCTCCAGAACCCGACAGAATGTCCCAGGAATACCACTGTCACTTGTGGTTTCTAACAACTGTTACTGACCTGTGGCAGATGGAGGGAATAGAGAGGCTGCAGGTTTCAGGTCTCCTGGAGGAAAAGAAAGATGAAGACACATCGGTGAGAGTGCTAATTTTGAGTGTATCTGATATGCTTTGAAACTCCCACCAGCTTCTGATTTTCTTGGATCTGAGGGCAAGCAACAAATTCTGATAGACTCTGGAGTTAGGAATGAAGGCCACTTAGAATTTATCTAGAGAAATGACTTTCTTATGTATATGGGGAAATTGAGGCACAGAGCCTATGACCATAACCTAATAAGGTTGGGTAAGCCTTCAAATAAGCAATAATAATTCTTCACAGAACTTCTGAGACTCAAATTTCTTCTCTCTTCTTCTGAACTGAATCATGGTCAGAAACTAACTAAATCCCTTGTGAAATAACCGAAACTATTCTACATCTTATTCTGAGCAGAACTGACTTCGTTGTCCTTGTTTGTTCTTCTGTACTCACAGACCAAATATTCACATTCTGGATTTGGATGTCAGAACAAAGATCAAACAGATCTTAGTATGAGGGAATAATGAATGAATTGTAACAAGAAGATCAATGATAATAGCGACGACAACAACAACAAATGAAGGGGCTTAAACAATTATTTGCATAGGAGAAGAAGGTTCGCAGAGCTCATGTGAGCAAGGACTGAGAATTTGAGCAGACTTTACATTTACTGTGAGCTACAGGGAGTACCCAGAGAGGCACAGGCACTCAGGCGGTGTTACTGCCACCACTGTGTACATTTGGATGTAGTGAGCAGGTGTTCCTTATGCATCATTTCATAAGAAAGATTTTGACTCAATACTGACTCAGGTATAAATTGGAGCACCTGGTGAGAAGGGCCATCTTGTCCTTAATAAATCGTGACATTACATTGACACGCACAAACATTCACTTTCATTCTCTGAGTTCTGAAGATTTTGGACTTGTCCTGCTTTTACCTGGTTTCAAAAGGCCTCCCATACAACTGTCTCATCTTTCTTGTATCTCATTTCCAGCTGGATTCCTGAACCCAAACACCCAACATATATCTCAGAGAAGAGCTGGGGTTGTCTGGGGCTTCGATAGCAGAGCTCTAGTTCCTGAAGAGCAAAAGTGACACCATGTGAGATGCTACCATTTATACTCAAGTGAGAACTTCCTGACACACCTGCCCCCCTCACCAATGCCTTCTTGGCCCTGCTTATCCTTATTTGGGCACTGAACATCTCTAGGGATCAACTTCAGATCACATATACAAACTCAAAAGTATAAGGATGTAGTGAGCACCCCCTAGATAAGTCAGGGCTCATCCTAAATTTAGTGCTTTTTCCTAAGCCACCTCTTTTTCTTTCCATCTTCATCTGTATTTTTTGTCTTCCAACTCCCCATCTTGAATTCAAATCCTCTTTTCTCAAGCTCAAAGACTGTGGTTCCTACACTCAACTCATTTCCAATCAACAGAAAATTTATGTCCATCTCTTTTCCCAAATAAAATCCAACACAGGCTTCCTCTGAACATGTTGCTCTCCATTTTCTTCAATCTCAGTAAGTGATACTACCATATATGGATCACTCAGATTCCAAATTTAAGTATCATGTTACCACTTTTCTCTCTCCATATATAACCAGTTCATTAAGTGCATGGGTCTCTAACTCAAAATAGACTTCAAGACATCTTACACAGACTAATATTCCTTTTGATTTTAATAATCATCTAGTTTCAGTTGTGAATCCACCAGTTTTTCTCCATTTTTATTGCTACTGTCCCAGTCATGCCACCATGAACTTTCATCTGTGGTGTTGCAATAGTCTTTGGATTTATTTCTCTGCCTCCATTCTTGCCTGCTTATCATCCATTCATGTTTGACAGCCAGGAGCATCTTTATGAAAGTAAGCCAGGTCTTGTATCACCACATTTAAGATCCTCTGAGGGCTTGCCATTGGTCTTGGAAAAATTCCAAACTCCACATTAAGGCCAAGTGGACTGCGGGCACTGCAAGACTCTGATTTTGCTTTGGCCTTATTTTTTCATGCACACCTGGTCTCTGTGACACTTGGCCTCCTTTCTGTCCTCTGGTGGTGTTCAGTTTGTGCTGACCTTGATGACTCTACATAAATCCTTCTGTCTGAACCAGCAGGCTACAGAACTGTACATGCCAGAAGCAGTGTTGTCTCTGACACCTCAACTCAAGCAGTATCTTGTCAGAGATATCTTTTCTGACTATGTAGTCTAAAGAATCCAGAGACACTCTCATGATGCTCTATTTGTTTCACAGCACTTGGTGTTAGTGTACTTTCCCACTGCTTCTTTAATTATTATAGAGGCCTCATCTGTAAGGAATTAAGATTTCCATGAGAGGCCTCTTAAGTCCTGTGAGGTCCAATGAACTACCTCTACTGAAGCATATATTCATCACTGGGTTAATATTTGTTGAATAACCCAATCATGTCTCTCTGTGATGCTTGTTAGCAATTGTCATGGCAGAAAAGTACCAAAGTATTTATTCTTGGGTCCATGTTTCCCAATGGAAGAAACCAACATCACTTCCTGTTGATGACTGGCCATATGGCCCATCTAGAGACATTAAATAAGATCATGAGGAATACTTCAAAGGTGGGCAGAATCTGCCTGAGGTATCATAACAAGTCACTTTTCTGATTCTTCCTCAGCCTTTCACATCTTCCCATTTTACTACTAATTTTTACCTATGTTTCTGCTTTGACATCCCCTAAAACACAAATATGAGATCTCTTATCTTCACCTTGTTGGTTTGACCCTTATATTTTCCTTCCATAATTTAAGGAAAAATAAAACTCTCTGATACAGTTTCCCTAGACTGTAGGTACTGCTCTGAGGCTAACTGACTGTTGGATCTATCATTGTCCATCTCACTTGCATACAAAAGTCTAATTTTTTGTGTTGGATATTTTCACTCCAGCCAATATTATTCTTGTACTTATTATTGGAGGAAAATGTGGCAATTTGTGACTATAAGGGAAAAAAAGTAAACAATCAGGCTTTCTTACAAAATTCTAAATTCTACATTTCTTATTCTGGCCCACTGCTTTAGACCTGTTACAAAGACTATTAGTGTTTTGGTTTTAATAGTCACCCGTATTACTGTTGTCTGATGCATCCTGCCCTGAGGGGCATGGGCACAAACATCTTCAAGCCAGGTGACTCAAAACATTCATCTCACACTCATTTAACCCTGATTCAAATACACACTACCATTCAGTGTATGCTTCTCTAACCCAAAGTAGCAAGTAGCAAATATGGGCAATTATAACATTCAGACATCAAGATTAATGTCCAGTGGCTCAACCTGTCTGACTCTGTCAAAAGTGATAGACACTGAAAAAGACCGAGAAGTATGCTCTTGTGTCCAGAAATGGGTCTGAAGGTCACTGACATCAGTGTCATTACAAACCGATCTGAGACTTGCAGCTAAGTCATGTTGTCCTGTATGGAACATACCTAGGTCATCTACTTCAGACATTTTACCAGGCATCTGGCAAAATGTTACATATCTTCCACCCTGATACTCGCAAAGAGTGACTATTGTATCTTAGAAATTATAGCTCTATGCTTACTTTAGTCTGCTCTCCCTAGAGATTAGATTTTCTGGGTTTCCAAACAATCATAGAATTGTTCCTGCTATCTTTCTCTCTTTTTATTTTTTCTTTTTGATTTTTGGAGATAGGAGCATGTGAGGTAGTTCAGGCTAGCCTTGACCTCAGTATGTAGCTCAGGCTGCCCTTGAACTCCTCTTGATCCTCCTGCCTCAACCTCCTGAGTGCTAGAATTTCATTCACGTGCCACCATGCCTGGCTATCCCTGCTTTCTAACAATACCTAATCTATAGCAAATCTGTTTCTTTATACTTTCCCTGAAATTATACAAATAAGACCCAAATCCTACAGAAATTTCTTTCTTACACCCTTTCATTTAGACAACCCAAGATTCCACATGGTGTGAAATTTACAGTAATGTGTGTTATAAATCCAGTATGTTGGACTATAAGTATGTTTCTGGTGCAATTTGACAGGAAGTTATTAACACCCTGCAGACGAAACACTTCCCAGTTCTTCCAAGTGAATCTCCAGTATCCTCCTCATCCTGAATGTGATATTTCCTCACCTTAACTGCCTTTGAAGCTTTCTTACTCACCCCAAACCCCACTTGCCTTCTCTTCCTCCCCAGTTCAACTAGACCCTGACAATAAACTGAAGAGTGCTGCCAGATATTCCCCAGGCATGCCTTCTGAACTAGAGCTGGGACAGACATGCTGCTGCTCACCTTGGGCATAATCTCCAGCATTCCTGATCCAGACACAATATAGCAGGATCCCACATAAAGTGGATCTGTTGGGGGTGGTTTGTGTATTCGCTCAAACTGGAACTTCTTTTCTTCATCATCTATGGCCTAAGGAACATAGAGAACAGTGATTGTGGGAGATATTGCCCTTTGGAATCAGATCTGATAAGATTGCATGATGTGTCAGTGTGTCAATATGTCTGTGTGGGTGAAGGGCAGCTACATCACCTCTACACCCCTCTCCCTTTATGTTTTGCCACATAAAAAGATCTGACCCCCCCCACTATGTTCACGGTGGGAACAGGTTCACTGGAAGAGAAGAAAAAACAATGCCAGAAATCTACAGTTGTGGGCATGCAGTCTTCCCACTCTCTCAGCTTCTGGATAGAGGTGACAACAGGTTTTCTAGTGATCAGTCATGTAGCAGTGAATGCAGCTGAGTGAGACCAGAGTTGTCACAGGGCTGCTCTCTGGGTGACCTGACCATTCAGCATGAATTTTCCCCAGAATTGAGGTTTCTGCAACTTATTTCCAGTTGAGGATCTCTTGAGACAGATCCCCGGCTCTATTTCATGAGTTCCTTTGGATTTTCTGGTTCTTAGTGTTACCTGCTGAATGGTGCAGTCGCTGGGGATCAGGTAGAGGTGGAATTTGACTTCCTCAGCATGGATGTGATGGTAGAGCAATGTGGTGCAGGTAATGCGGATGAAACGCCGAGCACCAGGGATTATTTTCAGGAGAACTCCCATTGGGGAGAAGGTGGGGTTTTCTAGGACGGTGTAATGTGGCTCCACTCTGGCTGGCTTCTCCAGGAACATCCCCTCCTCTTTGAAGTGAGCCACTTGGAACAAAGATCTGTCCACATGTTCTCCTGTGAAAGAACAGATTTGAGAGATGTGGATTTAGTGATTTCACTGAGTCAGGGTTGGCTGGAGCAGTAGGATCTCAGGGGTTAGGCTGAGGACATCCCTGTGGGAACCCAGTGCAGTAGTCTGAATGCTTGGGTCCTCCCAAAATTTGTATGTTGAATTTTTCCAATCAGGTGAAAGAAACCAAAAAGAAACCAGAAAAACCTCCTTCTTCCCTAGGAGGGCACAGCTAGAAGGTGCCATTTATGAGGAAGGGGTCTCTTGCCAGACACTGAATGTAGAGTCTCCTGGATCTTGGACTTTCTAGATAGCAGAACTGTGAGAAATAAATTTGTTACTTATGGGTTACTCAGTATATAGTATTTTATTATAGCAGGCCAAATGAACTAAGATATTTAATATAAGGAGTGGGGACACATATTTATTGGGGATACTTCCGAAGTTATGGGCATTACTTTGTCTAATCTGGAGGGACATCATGGGAATCCATTTTGGCCAGCCCTGGTCCTGGAGCTGGGAAACACACTGGACCTATGGTTGCCTGTGCTGCTGGGGATTCTCTCACTATGATGGTGTGTTGAGGGAATGCTGGTAGTTTTGACTGTGAACAGATAGAGAAGGTGGAGGAAGAAGGAGCTGTGGAGTGACAAAGGGCTGCCTACGTTGGTCAAATATTTGGCAGTATTCAAGTTCTTTACTTGGAAAGAGCCTTTTCCTATACCTTTGTGGGCCCGTGGTAGGAGGCAAGCTGAGCCCTCCTCTCAGGAAGCAGCTACTTCCTGGTAACTATAACACACATGTGGGCTCAAGATTTAACTAAATGGGTACCATTAACCTTAGCCTTGATCCTAGAGGGCTGATACTCAGAGGAAGAGACAGCTGGAGATAATCTTGGCAGTAGAATTGGATGGTGGTTCCCATGGCAAAAGAGTCCCACATGGGCTGCATCTGCAGCAGCTCTCTCTCTCTTTTCTCCCCCCGCCTCTCGGTTTGACCTTGGCTCTCTGCTTTGTGTCAGCAGTATTGTTTCGCTGCCTGGTTTTTCCTCCTTGACTTGTTGTATAAACTTCTGTTAAGTTTATGACTTCTCAGGAATTTCCCAATACATTCATTTTCTGGCTGTATCAACCAGAATTGATTTCTTTGATTACAGTCAATGATTAGTGCTCCAGGTGGAGACAATGAGACCAGAAAAAAGGGGTTAAGTAATAAGTGACACTGACCAAGAGGCCGGAAAGTCTGTCTCTTTTCATGCATTGCTGGAAACCAGCAAGGCATCCATTTGAAGACAAGGCTGTTAGGTGGCCTGGGCATCAATCAGAATGCCACCAAGTATTGTTAATTCTAGCAGGGGCGATGAAGCCTGTTATGTAAGTGTTATCACTTATTAAGTGAATTTTTGGAGAAATTTAATAAAATTTGTATATGCCACATGAAAAAAGGATGAAGATTTCACCCATGAGTCTCAGCAATCAAAAAACACAACTATTCCAAGTCCCCTCATTGTGTGTGCTCCCAGTATTCCCACCTGGGCTCTTACGTCTTCTTCCCTGTACTGTTAGCTCACACTGACCTTTGGGGCTGCTCACACTCTCAGACCTTATTCACATCTCCTGCTTTGAATTTCTTTTTCTTATTCTATGTACAGAATGGTTCAACCCCTTGTTTTGTTGTTGCAGTTGTTTTCCTGTTAAAATTTGTTCATTACTCCCATCAGCTAATATTTATTTGATCTTGGTTCTGATGTCCAAAACCCAGGACACCCGTGAGGTTCATCAAAATACCTGGTGAAATTTTAATTTAAAAAAATTATGGTAAAAGACACATTGACATCTATCTGCCTTAAACACTTCCCCCTTCCTTTTTTCCACTATCTGAACCAGTTTTGGAAGTCTCCCATGAGTGTCTTTAGGAGATGTGATTGAAAAAAAATGTGGTGAATGCTGCTGTTGAGTGCCCTCCAGAAGAAAAGCAAACTCATAAAAACATTAAGGTGTATCCTCATCTATCTTATTCAGTGGCTTTGGTTCCATGTGACATGTGGTTCTTCCCAAAGTAAAAAATGACCTTGAAAAGTAAATGTTTGGAATCCATTCAAGACACTGAGGCAACACAACAGCACAGCTAAACATACTCATGTAAGAAATGTCTGAGCCATTTCAGATCATGGCAAGAAAGATGGAATAGGTGTGCCTGAAGTTAGGGGGGTATTTTGAATGGGATTAAAGGTAAGGAGTCTTTTGCTGTTATAATTTTTAAAAATATAAATAGTCACTGTAGTTTTCAATCACACGTTACATGTTTAAAGCTGTTTGTGAGTCTCTCTCTTTTGAAAATCCCCACATTTCAGACTTCCATATTGCTGTTCTACCCTGCAAATCATCTGTTAGAGTTACTGAATGTGTCTCAGTATCTTTATTTATTGTTCTATCTTGCACATCAGGATCATTTTCAATTGGTCTGAGGTACATCCTTTAGAATTTCATTCAGTAGGCCATCATTTGTGGTGAGTGTAATTGTTTTAGTTTGGTTTAGAATGTCTTTACTTTCCTCTTAAAAGTACTTTTCTCTGTTTACAACTCCTGATGGACACTTACCTTCTGAGCACATGGAAGACAGTCCATTATTTCTGCTTCCACTCTTGCTGCTCAGAAGTGAATTACCAGCGCTTTGCACTACTTGCTGGGGAATGTTGCTTTGGCTGCTGTGAAGAACCCTAGTCTTGTTTTCTTAAAGTTGCACTACAGTGCTGATGTCTCTCATCTCCTTCTCTTTCTTTTTCTTGCTTCAGATTTGAGGAGTGTTCATTCTGAGAAGTCTCATGTCTCTCAGCAATTCTAGAAATTTCTCAGCATTCATCTGTTTGGATATTTATCCTTTATATTATATTATATTTATATTATTATATCATTATATTATTTATAATATTATATATTATATTTATAGTCTCTTTCATATTGTTCTGTAATTCCAGTGAGATATAAATGAGTTTCCTCCACACTGCTTAAGCTATTTAAAAAATAATTTTCAAATTTTCTGTGAAATGTATTTCTAATTTATCATTTTTAATGGGTTATTGCTTCTTGCTCATATTTTTGAGGCCATCTATTTCTCTCAATCTATTATACACTTTTATTTTATGTCAGATTTCTGATAACTCAATGTCTGAAGTATTTAAGGGGCTCATTTGGTACCTGAGGTTCCCAGTGTTCTCATGTACAGTGCAGTGTATATGCTTCGTGAAATTTTTAACTGTAAGCTTATGTTTCTTGAGCTTTACCTATGGGAAGTCTTTGAAGGCAACAGATATGGGGATGCATTGTGGCTACTGTCCTTTGTTAGGGAGCCCCACTTTTGTTGTCTATGCTCTAAAATGGAATCTGGTGATCTCTGCCTACTCTGTGCCAGTAGGGGTGTTCTCATTTTTGAAAGACTTGGTAATCTGAGTCACTTTGTTGAGGATAACAATATGTAATGTAACAACCACTGTTAATTTCCTATCATCTTGTTTTGAAATTCTGTATCATTTTTATTGTTTTTGTCTTTGTTGTTGTTATTTTGTTATTTTTTTGTCTTTAAAATAAAATTCACTGTTAGTTCTCTTAGCTTTGTCTTATCCATCCCCTGTTTGAAAATACCTACAAATACCTCACCTGAGTATATCACCTGTTTCCTGCTGGTTCCTGAGAGACATCATATATGTAAAGTGTATTTAGTAAATGCTACTTAATCGTGTTATTGAAGAGATCACTTTCCACTTAGGGAAATTTTCAGGTAAGCTCAGGAAAAAAAATTCTAAGAACAAGAGACATGTGCTTCAAAAAATATATGTGTAGAGAGAAGAGCAGAATGAGAAACACTTTCACTTTTCACATCTGTAACTCTCTCTGCCTTGCTAAGGAACCTATGATGTCTCTCATCATCCTCCCACATCCCATTTCAAGCCCATTTTTTAAATTTTAAAGAGAAAAAAACAAAAACAAATTAACAAACATAAAGACATAAACAAAACAACACAAAAATAATAAAACAATACAGAATTTCAAACAAAGTGATGGGAAATTAACAATGGTTGTTGTATTACATATTGTTATCTTCAAGTTGGTTATTCAGTTGCACAAATATAGGTATGTAAGATTGATCAAACAATTAAACATTAACTTCATTTCAATAAAGCAATAGAAATTAGTAGTACAATTATCTTATCTATCTTGTGTGTATGTATATACATATTTTTCCACTTTCTTTCTTTTCTCTTTTCTCTCATCCCAGTTGTTCTTCCCTTTTGAGCAGTTTCTTTCCCTTTCACAATATGCATTGAACATTTCAGATTTTATTCACTTTCAGCTTCTTACACGAGGGAGACAATATGATGTTTACACATGTGAGTTTGATTTATTTCACTTATGAGTATGGTCTCTAGTTGCATCCATTTATCTATAAAAGCCTCGAGTTTATCTTTCTTTATAGCTGAGTAATATTTGATTATATAAAAATACCACAACTTTTTATGCATTCCTCAGTTGGTGGAAATTTGGGTTGTTTCCACAAGTTAGCTATTACACATTGAGCTCCTATAAACATGGGTGCACATATACTGCTGTGGTAGGATGTTTTCAATGCCTCTGGAACAATAGCCAAAAGGGAAATAGGTGGGTCAAATGAGACCTCTAATCCTAGTTTACTGAGGAATCTCCAGAATGATCTCCATAGTGGTTGCACAAGTTTACACTCCCACCAACAATGGGGAAGGGTTCCTTTTCTCCCATAGCCCCTCTAGCATTTGGTTGATTTCTTGATGATAGCCATTCATTGGTGTGAAACGGAACCTCAGTGGTGTTTTAATTTGCATTTCTCAAATGACTAATGAGGTTGAATATTTTTTCATTTATATATTTGCCATTCGTATTTTTTTTAATCTCAGAAGTGTGTATTCATCTCAGATACCCATTTCTTGATGGATCTTTGAAACTGACTTCTTTTAATACTTTATATGTTCTAG